TTGTTCGATGATCACGCTTCAGAAGCTTTGCAATTTTAAGAGTGCTGCATCCCTCTGCAAGATATCTCACTATTTTTGACTTTTCTGAGCCTGTCAAGTCCTTCTTTTGACCCATTTTGCCAAAGGAAAGGAAGTTGCCTAATAATTATGCACACCTGATATAGGGTGTTGATGTCATTAGACCACACCCCTTCTCATTACAGAGATGCACATCACCTAATATGCTTAATTGGTAGTAGGCTTTCGAGCCTATACAGCTTGGAGTAAGACAACATGCATAAAGAGGATGATGTGGTCAAAATACTCATTTGCCTAATAATTCTGCACTCCCTGTATTTCACGAGGTCTTGGATAGTAACGTCACTTTAATTACAATTCTCATTTGGTATAAAGCAGATATATAATATGCATTGTGAGTATATACATCAAAGCACTATCACTTTAATTGTTTAGTTTTGACACTGCATTTTTTTTGTGTTTTTATTACATTCATTTAGCATTTTATATATATTCACAATGCTCTTAGAACAAATACACTTCGGCTCATTTAGCAGTAGCCCTTTTTAGTTTGTCTCCCATGTTGGAATTAGTGAAAGACCCACCGATATTGGGGTTCTGTGAAGTAGTGGTGGTGGGCTTACCACAATATAGCCATATGGTGGAACTGACTCCTCATATTTGTTTGCTGCGATATGTGTTTTTAAGTAGCCTTGTAGGATTTAAAAATTTATTTTAAAGTGTGTTGTAACAATCTGTATTTTGTATAACATTTTGGTCTGTACGGCAGCACCATTGCTGAGAATGGCATATTCCGGATGTGCCCCCAATTCGCTTTTTGTCTTTACTCGGTAAAACAAACTGCGTCCTGGATTGTTCTGTTTTGACAAACTGAAAATGTCTTCTTAAGTATGTTTGGAAATTGCATCTGTTTTTTGTCCTCTATTTCTATGAACACAGCACAGCCTATGGTATAGGAATCCGTGTCTGACAAGTAACTCATTCCATAACCATGTATACTATTATAGAGCTGGTCTCTACCTCTGCTGCCATAACAAATCCTCGCTCTTCTGTTAGAACCTGGGATTGGCCATTCAGTGAGGTCAGGTGCTGATACTGTGTGATCAGGAAAAGGATTTACCTTAAAGGTATTCAGTGTGTTTCAGGTGGGTCAGGTTCTCCTATATTAATTAAGGCCATTTCTATACGCCTCTCTCAGTGTTCAGAAATTATCTAGAATGTCGATGTATGCTGTGCTGTTAAAGGACACCCAGACCCCTTCATCTCAGTGATGTATCTCAATGAAGTGGTCTGGGTGTAGTGGTACCGTCTTTTTAACTGTGCAATTTATAATATTGCAGTTTTGTAGAAGTAGCCCATGATGAGTTAAAAACACACCTCTAGTAGCTGTCACACTGACACAGTATACAATGCTTTTCTATAAGAACCATTTTATTGGATGCACACGCTGTGTGATAATCATGTCCCCATTGCTGTTCTATGAGGAGCATTGGATTGGACGAATGCTGGAGCTGCGACACCTCCTTGATGATGTCGCAGGAGGCGGAAAGGCCAACAGCACAAAGGACATCTCGAGGGAGATATAGTGTTCTCTGTTGTAGACAGCGTACCTGCAAGGGGAAGCCTTCACCTCCCCTCCCTCTGTGCACTCCTTTCAGTCTCTATAAATCGCTGTTTTGTTTCTCCTAAAAACATGTCTGAGTGTTCACATGTGCTCTGAGCCAGTGAAACAGCCCAATCAAATGATTCTCTACAACAAGCATTTGATTGGACAGCTCAAAGGCAGGGATGACTTCAGACGGAGAGGTGAAGAGCAACGCAGGCAGCTTCGCTTGATACGGGATTTCAGATAAGTTTACTAGTGTTTTCCCCGCAGGTTTTTAAAGGGGAGCCTAGCTAGTAATGCCCATTAGAGCATTATAAATATAAAAAAATATAAGTTAGACCTTTTAAGTTGTAGATCTTCACGTTTTTAAGAGAAATCAAAATTCTTTTGAAGTTTCAGAAATCAGACGGCAGTTTTTATTCCCAAGTTTCTACCAGCTTGAGATCTGTGGTCTGTAAATCTGAATAGGTTATCCACCTTGGGACAAATGTACTTCAGTCTTTGTAGTTGGTCAATATAAAACCCATTGCACAGCGCTGTGGAATTTGTTGGCGCTATATAAATAATAATGGCAACTACACAGTGTTATCACACAGGACAGCACAGATAAAAGACCACATTACAACTTGTTGCCAAGGTACAAGTGGGTCAAGATACAAGTGACCGGGACCTTGCCAGTACCCTTAAAATGAACAATAAGCACCTTATGGGGTATTTTGTCTCCATACTGGCTGTGCCCTATAAGGGGAACAGGTAATCCGATTTTATTGGTGATGGAGGTTGTAGCTCTCACATTTGAAATCATTTTGATATTCTTAGTCTTTACACAAGGTTGCAGGCAGCCTGTCAGAGGACATATCTGGGGTAAGCAGAATCCAGGGATGTGGAATTCCTGTCGCCAGACACACAGTTCCGAGCAACAAAGCTTCAATAGAAAGTGTGTCCTAGGGGAGGGTCGAGCACATGAAACTCTCAGATGATGACTTTGTAGCTAGGACCAAGCGTTCCTTCCCTCTGCCCAGCCTTAAGCTCCACTTCTTGGCTGAGGATTTTGTGGAGGTCTGCTCCCTGACTGGCTGTAGATTGGAGGTCGCACAGGAGCAAGAGGAACAATAGAGAGGTTGGGTGGAAGACACGTTTAGTGAAAAAGGGCCAGGAACATCAATCGGGAAGATAGGGAATAGAAACTCATAGGGGGAGATTAGAGGCAAGGACATGGAGGAAGGATTATTGCAGGAAGATAGGGAATAGACACCCATATGGGGATATTAGAGGCAAGGACATGGAGGAAGGATTATTGCAGGAAGATAGGGAATAGACACTCATATGGGGTAGATTAGAGGCAAAGACACGGAGGAAGGATTTTTGCGGGAAGATAGGGAATAGACACTCATATGGTGAGATAGAGGCAAGAGCAATGAGGAAGGATTATTGCTTTAACACTAATGGAGTTTGGTTTGGGGCAAAGACACTAATTGCGGTGAATTAGGGGACAGGAATACACAAATTAGGGCACATCTCACACACAAGTACACCCCAAACTACACACAACCTGCATACACACCCATTCAGTTGGGGCACAATAGCTCCCTCACGCATGCCCCTCTGCGGGGTAAAAGGTGTTAAATACCCCTTCTGTACTTAAACGATTAGAGAGCCAATGTCCCTCGGCACTGGTTCAGTCTCCACTTTTGCCAATGTCTGGAGGCAGGGGGGGGGGTGGGAAAGGACCTAACACGCGTCAATCACATTAGTACTTTTTTATGCAGTTTGAGGATGTCCAGCATCATTTACCAGATAAATGTCCCTAGAGTGGCTGTCTGATAGATGCACTAGAGGTGCAGTTAACCCTGCAAGGTATTTATTGCAGTTTATCAAACGCTGCAATAATTACCATTGCAGGATTCAGGGGACTGGGACCTTAAATGAGCTTAAGTGGTCTGGGTGCCTATAGTGTCTCTTTAAATCTGAATGTAAAAATAGACAAAAAGTGGTGCTATAGCGGTTGGAGAATTTTCCAGATCTGCTTTGTCAGTTTCCCAATTAGGATTTAACTAGTGAAAATTCGGAGTTTACTGAATAACCTGGTCTATGACCAGGACTCTAGGCAGGTATCCCAATCTGAAATTCTGTGTCAGGACAAGTAGATTCTTTTAAATGTCTGCACCCATTATGCAGTTAGATGGCTTGGTACACATGTTACACAGTAACCATATTCTGTGTAATTTATTAGGGACGGGTTTCTTGTAACAATCCGTGCACACAATAAAGATTTGTTAAAGGACCACTCTAGGCACCCAGACCACTTCAGCTTAATGAAGTGGTCTGGGTGCCAGGTCCTGCTAGGGTTAACCCATTTTTTCATAATTATAGCAGTTTCAGAGAAACTGCTATAATTATGAATGGGTTAAGCCTTCCCCCTAATCCTCTAGTGGCCGTCTCATTGACAGCCACTAGAGGCGCTTATGTGCTCTCACTGTGATTTTCACAGTGAGAGCACTCCAGCGTCCATAGGAGGAAACATTGTAAATGCTTTCCTGTGAGACCAGCTGAATCGCGCGCAGCTAGCGCCGCGCGTGTAGCATTCAGCTGAACGGAGGCGGAGAGGAGGAGGAGAGGCTCTACCGCCCAGCTGAAAAAGGTAAGTTTTTACCCCTTTCCCCCTTCCAGAGCCGGGCGGGAGGGGGTCCCTGAGGGTGGGGGCACCCTCAGGGCACTATAGTGCCAGGAAAACGAGTATGTTTTCCTGGCACTATAGTGGTCCTTTAAAGCTGGCTGTGTAGCCTGTGTTCTCATTAAGGGACTAACTGCAATAGGAACAATACAAGCATGCAGTGTTTGTACTGACACCCCCACCCACCTCTTTGCAAGCACAGTCTGTCATCCATCAGGTCAGCATGCATTATACCAAACAGAGCCTTCAAGCAGCAGCTACAATGGCAGATAATGCTGAACAGAGCCATGTTTTGTGATAGTACAAAGTTCCCAATAATATTAAAGGGACACTCCACTCCCCTTTCTAATACCATCTAGACTGCGTCTGTCCAATCACAGACTTCCCAATGCAGCTCAATGAAAATTCTTAGCAAGGCAGGTGCTCTGAGCAATTGCTGCCGCTTGAGCTTATCTTTACTGAACAAACCAAAAGGTAACAGGATTAGTTTCCCAACAGCAAGTGGGATGTAGCCAGGTTCATTTATAAAAGTGTCAATTTTCTATTGAAATCTACATTTTGTAAAATGAATTTAAAAAAACAAACATAATTTAAGCAAGTTAAAGTTCTCTAGAGATCCAGTGTGTCCCTTTTATGGGGACACCAGATTTGGCAAGTTCAATGGAAAGAATAGTTATTTTCAGTTTTTTTATTCAATAAGTCAGCATGCATCAAGAATCTGATGACCCCCCCCCCCCCATTAAAAAGACAACACAAATGTTATTTTTCAGCTTTTATTTTTGTACAAGGCAGCACATTTCAAAGCAATCCTCTTAGAAATTCCTGTAAAGAAGATAATACGCAGACATTAGATTTTCACATTAATACCATATTTAACAATACGCTAATCTAGAAACTTATAAAATGTGTACATTCTAATATAAACAGAATAAATTAATCTATGCTCAAACCCAACCCGATTCTCCCTGATATCCATGGCACAATAGGCAAATTAATGACTATGCCAGATAGGGCATATGGGATAGATTAAATGCACAGAGGGGATTCTTGAAAGAAATGTTTATATTCCAGAAACTTACTTTGAAACAATACCGTCATTTTTTGCCAGCCTCAGAATAGAGTCATCAGATTCTCCCTGTAAAGAAAACACAAACAATAAAAATGATATCACGTTTTATTTCATGATCCTTGGCCTGGAAATATAAAGCATCAGGGCTGAAAATTGCACTAGTGAGCAGAAACCGACATATTCTATGTTTCTATTTATATTTATGTTATGGGTTAAAAAGAACAGATGGTAATTTGCTATGATGTACCATGAGAACTCTGGAATGTTGGTGATTAAAGTCTTCATACATGTCCTTATATGGGCAGAGTTTTAGTCATTATGGCCATAGCTATACAGAATAGTGGACAAAAGACCCCGAGGCTTATTGTCCGTGTGTTCTCCCTTCCTGAGTCAAGCAATATCGGCTTTATTATATTAGTAACTGTAGGCAGAGCAAATCTAAAGAATACGTAAGTAATGCGTATTAATATTTGTAACCGACACACAGAAGAATTATATTATATAAACATCACAGCGAAGAAGAAGAGAAGTATAAAAAAATACAAGTGCCTGTTCTATGTATAATCAGTTTAAAGAGCACAGGAATTGGAAAAAGGCATCAATTTGTGCGTACGTTAAAAAGACAGCCCAGTTTACACAAGCGCCAATTTTAATCTAGACAGGCTCCTCCCAGGGGTGGAGCAGAACAGTGGCAAAAGTGTACTCGGCAGTTGCCAAATAAAACTATCAGATGAGGGTGCCCTAGAACCTGGCAGTTACAAGGTGAAACGCTTTAAACAATCTATATTTGTTTAAACCTTGAAGTGAAGAACACTTACAGTCAGTCAGTCAAGGTAACCTTACGGTGACTGTGAATGACACCCTGGTCCCAAAACCGCACTGATCAATGTTTGATGCTACTTGACTCACTGGGGGTAGGATGGCTACACAAAATTTGATAGTCCTGAAACTCATGAGAATGCTAGTCACGGGTCTAAAAGAATGGTTTAAAGGGTTACTCCAAGCACCATAACCACTTCAAAACACTGGAATCTGTATATGCTGCTTCAGTACAAAACACTGTACAGATTAATATGCTATTAGCCAGCCTGTAACAATAGCGCTGGGCAGACTAAAGTAAATTCTGTGCATATGCCCTGCAGAGAGCATCATTTATTGGCGGAGAGCGTTCACCCAGCTAGGAAGTGACTCAGCACCTAACAAGGACCCAGGTAATAGGACAAACCATTAGAAAATGTTTTACCCCATTACTGGGGAATGGCACTGGGGTATTCCTTGCATCAAAACCTGCACAGAGGGCTGTAGTGGCTATGTGTAGTCATTCTGTGTGCATTATTTTCCTCTAGTAATGCTCAATCATTAGGCTCAACTATTAAAGTAGAGATTCTGAGAAAAGCATTACATACCATCCGGCGAATTGTACCGCAGATTGCATAAGTCTTGCACTGACCAGTAACTCTTCCTGTGACTTTATCCAGCTGAAAGTGAAACCAACAGATTACAAGTGGGTCAATGAGGCCACAAATCAACTCTACATTATTGCAAATAACTGAAATTGGCCAATCTAAACAAGTCAACATGAAGTGCAATCCAGTCCACCTCTACATTACCCATATAGAAAGGGAACAAATCAATGCAATAGCCTTTAGGGCAAAATTCTAAGTAATTTAAACAAGTCTAAATTGATTTACGAAGGAGGTTTGACTAAGTGAGGAAAGCTCTAGATTGGCTGCCTTCAGCAAAGTACAAAATATTTTTCAGCTTGGGAGATTATACCAAGTAGGGATCGACAGGATATTGATTTTTTTGAGCCGATACTGATAATCTGAACTTTCAGGCCGATATACAGAGTATCTGTAAGTTATCAGCTACTCTGTATATTTACCATTTTGAAGAAAAAAAAATTCTACACAAATCTACTGTTAACTGAACATGTTTATTTTTGCAGTTTTTTTAAAGTGGTAAATGCACAAAATATACATGCCAGTCAGATTTGCTTTAAGTTTGCAAGAATATTTACTGTCCCTCTGCCTCCCCCTGTCCCTTAGTGTTCCTCAATGTTTCCTTCTTCCATTAGTGTTCTGCTGCACCCCTCCCCATCCCTTAGTGTTCCTCAATGTTTCCCTCACTGTCCATTAGTGTTCCCCGAAATTCAGATGTAAAGTCATAAGAGCTAAACGGGGAAGAATGGTTTGTTTGATTAAATAAAATAACCATAGCAGTAAAGGAATATATCCTATAAAAATAAAGAACTGTAGGACCCTCACCTCCGCAATGTTCATCTGGATTGAAGCATGGTCCTTAGCACCAATAATTCTGTTGCTTGCAGAGCTGAAAGGTAAGAGACCAATGGTCACCAGTGAGATGAATATAGTGAAAACAACCATCAATGAATGGCAAAGTAAATGGGAGGCCTGACAAAATAAGCTGCTTTATCCTTCAAACACCTAGGAAAACACACATTTAAAGGGAAACTATAGTGCTTGGAAAACTCAGTAGCACTATAGTGACCTACAATGCCCCCCTGATTCGCGGCACTGGAAGGGTTTAAAAACCATTGTGTCACTTTCCTGATTCTAGCGCCGATGTCCCTCGGAGCTGGGTCAGGATGCAGCTCCTCCACCAATGTGAGCTGGCGGGGAATCAAACTCATGCGGTGCGCACTGGCATTAGTACTACCCCATAGGAAAGCATTACTCAATGCTTTTCAGATGACGCTGGATGTCCTCATGCAGAGCGTGATGACGTCCAGCATCGGGCAACTGACCAAAAGTCGCCTAACCACATGGAAGTGCCTCAAATAGCTGTCTGGTACTTGCCACTAGAGGTAGAGTTAACCCTGCAAAGTAATTATTGCAGTGTATCAATAACTGCAATAACAACCATTGCAGGGTTAAGGGGACTGGGACATTGCACCCAGACCACTTCAATGAGCTGACGTAATCTGGGCTCCTAAAACGTCTAATCAAAGATTCTTTTAAAAATGAGATTTTAACAAGGCTGAACTCCTCATAGGCTAAGGGTACTTATTAGACTCAAGTCACACACACACACAAAAAAAAAGGGAGGTGCAAAACATATGTCCAAGTGAAGTGGACAGGACAAAAGTCAAAGGATGGAGTCTTGTTTAATTAGGGAGGAGTTCATATCCAATCTAGGAGTGGGAAGTGATGCCCTGGATATATCCAGGAAATAAGATTTTAACAAGCATTTTTCAAAATAGCTTTTAATATGCATGGTTAAATGCTACAAAGTGACAGGTCCAGGTTACAACCATCACTTTATACAACTGTTACAGTTTGGTGTAAGAGGGAAAACGGGAAATTCAGCTAAAATGGCAATACGCAATCTGTGCAACACTGATTTTTCAAACATGTAAAACCCCAATCTGCAAAGACTTTCCTGATAATTATCTGCTTCATGTAGACTTCAAACAATAGATTTACTCTTGAGATGTACAATAATGCAACTTACCATTTACGGGGGACGTACAAGTCCACAAATTCTCCAGCGTCGTTCTGCATTTTGCTGAATAGTCACACGATGACCTGTAATGTGTGCATGTTTACTGGTTAGATTTTATTTTCTATAATTATGCCAAGTTAATAAAGGCAGAGAAACTTTAAAAATACTTAAAGGACCACTATAGTGCCAGACTATAGGGTCATTAGGTCCCCCCACCTCGCCGGGCTGAATTGGTTAAAATCCCCTCAGCCACCTACCTTTCTCTAGCGCGGGGCTCACCAACATTAAATACAAAGCTGGCAAATGGCCCCTGGGAGCCCATTTAGAGTGAGGGGCCCCTGGCAGTTCATAGAGAGCCAGTGAGGGGCCCCTGGCAGTTTACGCAGGGGCAGTAAGGGGCCCCTGGCAGTTTACGCAGGGACAGTAAGGGGCCCCTGGCAGTTTACGCAAAGCCGGTGAGGGGCCCCAGGCAGTTTACGCAAAGCCGGTGAGGGGCCCCAGGCAGTTTACGCAAAGCCGGTGAGGGGCCCCTGGCAGTTTACGCAAAGCCGGTGAGGGGCCCCTGGCAGTTTATACAGAGCTGGCGAGGGGCCCCTGGGAGCCCATTTAGAGTGAGGGGCCCCTGGCAGTTCATACAGAGCCGGTGAGGGGGCCCCTGGCAGTTTACGCAAAGCCGGTGAGGGGCCCCTGGCAGTTTACGCAAAGCCGGTGAGGGGCACCTGGCAGTTTACGCAAAGCCGGTGAGGGGCACCTGGTAGTTTATACAGGGGCAGTGAGGGGCCCCTGGCAGTTTATACAGAGCTGGCAAGGGGCCCCTGGGAACCCATTTAGAGTGAGGGGCCCTTGGCAGTTCATACAGAGCCGGTGAGGGGGCCCCTGGCAGTTCATACAGAGTCGGTGAGGGGGCCCCTGGCAGTTCATACAGAGCCGGTGAGGGGGCCCCTGGCAGTTCATACAGAGCCGGTGAGGGGGCCCCTGGCAGTTCATACAGAGCCGGTGAGGGGGCCCCAGGCAGTTCATACAGAGCCGGTGAGGGGGCCCCTGGCAGTTTATACAGAGCCGGTGAGGGGGCCCCTGGCAGTTTATACAGAGCCGGTGAGGGGCCCCTGGCAGTTCATACAGAGCCGGTGAGGGGCCCCAGGCAGTTCATACAGAGCCGGTGAGGGGCCCCAGGCAGTTCATACAGAGCCGGTGAGGGGCCCCTGGCAGTTCATACAGAGCCGGTGAGGGGCCCCAGGCAGTTTATACAGAGCCGGTGAGGGGCCCCAGGCAGTTTATACAGAGCCGGTGAGGGGCCCCTGGGAAGCTGTTGGCCCCTGGCGGGAGCTCCATATCTGGGATATAAATCTGTCTCGGTCTCGCTCACTGAGGCCTACCAAGCCCCGCTGTTTCCCAGCTCTCTCCCCGGCCACGTGTTCCCGCTCTCCCGGCCTTCCTCCCCCGGGGGCCCCATCTCTCTCCCCGCGGCTCCCGGGGGCCCGAGCCCGCTCCCGGGGCCCTCTCTCCCCGGCCAGGGCCCGGCTCCACCCGGCCAGCACCCCGCAGCCCCGAGCTCACCTCCTGCTCGCGGCAATGGCTGAAAGAAAGAGGCGGAAACGGCGACCCGGAAGGAGAGACGTCACCACCGAGAGCAGTACTTCCGGGTCACGGGAACAGGAAGTCAGAGCTCCCAAAAAATAATAATAAATAAAAATAATAATAAAATAATAATAATAATAATAAATAATAATAATAATAATAATAATAAAATAATAATAATAATAAAATAATAATAATAATAAATAATAATAATAATAATAAAATAATAATAATAATAAAGTCATACAGCAACACTGGGAATATAATACCAAGAGTATTAATAAAATATTACTAATTATAGTCTAATCTCTGCAACATCTCATAATTACAGCTTTATGTCTAATAATAATAATAATAAACATCTCTTAAAGGGATACTGTGGGGTAAAACGGCCCCAATAGAAATAAAATATAAAACCAAACCCACGCCTTCAGGGTGATTGGAAGATCTCTGTAACCCGAGAGCAGCCATACTGCAGGCGCCAGCGGTATACACACACACACGCAACCCAGGTTCGTTTATTAGAGAACCGAGCTGCGTTACGCTCCTCTCTCTCTCTCTATTTAACTGAAGGAATCAGCCCAAATTGTGAGCGCTGCATTCAGGCCGTACTTGGAAAATTCACATACAATTGATAAAAGCCACATGGCCACTGATTTCAGTTCGCATAAAATGTGAGATCACCCTTTTACAAGCCACATAATTATAATCATAGTGAACCAATATTTCTCACAAGAAATAGTGTTGTCTCGTTTCACATGAGAGGGAACGGGATCAATGGTACTGGTGGTGGGAAGAGAGGGAACAGGATCAAGGGAACAGGTGGTGAGGCGAGAGGGAACGGGATCAAGGGAGCAGGTGGTGAGGCGAGGGGGAACGGGATCAAGGGAACAGGCGGTGAGGCGAGAGGGAACGGGATCAAGGGAACAGGTGGTGAGGCGAGAGGGAACGGGATCAAGGGAAAAGGTGGTGAGGCAAGAGGGAACGGGATCAAGAGAACAGGTGGTGAGGCGAGAGGGAACGGGATCAAGGGAACAGGTGGTGAGACAAGAGGGAACGGGATAAAGGGAACAGGTGGTGAGACGAGAGGGAACGGGATCAATGGAACTGGTGGTGAGGCGAGAGGGAACGGGATCAAGGGAACAGGTGTTGAGGCGATAGGGAACGGGATCAAGGGGACAGGTGGTGAGGCGAGAGAGAATGGGATCAAAGGGGCAGGTGGCAAGAAGAGAGGGAACAGGATCAAGGGGACAGGTAGTGGGGCAAAAGGGAATGGAATCATGGGGACAGGTAGTAGGGAAAGAGGGAATGGGATCAAGTGGAGAGGTGGTG